ACATTGCAGAGTGGGGTGTTTCTCTTCTGTCTACCTGATAGCCGCTCTCCCTTCTGAGATGTAAAGTCGTCATCCGAAAAGCGAGGACAGAAGGACTGAGTCTGTCTGATGGCCCGGAGGGGCTCAGCGGCTGTAGGATGGCCCTCCCTCCCAGACTAAGGGCTGGAAACCATTCCTGGTTGCCACCAGCATTAAAAAGGGAGCTATGCTTTCTTAGATTCCACCGATCAGTGAGGTCATACAGCATTTGTCTTTGACTCATCTTACGTAGCATAATTCTCTTTGGGTCCAGACACATTGTTGCAAATAGCAGGATTTCTTTCTTTCTCGTGAATAGTGCTCCATTGTATAAAAGCATCTCATCTTTCTCTATTCATCCATGCACGGGCACGCAGGTTGTTTGCATGTCCTAGCTATTGTGAATGATGCTGTGTGGGCATCTTTTCGTGTGGCGTGTGGGCATCTTTTCGAGATCCTGCTTCCATTTTCCTCTAGGTAAACACCCATTGGGGAATTGCTGGGTCATACAGTAGATCTATTTTTTTGAGTAGACTAGTGGTTACAAGGGCCTGGGGGCTGGGGGCAAGAGGGAGTTGTTATGTAAGGGTCCACACTTGCAACTAGTAGATACGCAAGTCCTGGTGAGCTAGCCCATAGCACAGCGGATCCAGGGAATAGGACACACCAGTCTTGCATGTGGGGGAAGGGGCAAGGAGCTCTGCCTTTGGAGGATCGAGCCCGATGTCTGGCATTTGTGAAGGTTGTGGGTAGGAAGCCAGGAAGCAGCACTGAACTCCAGTGGGGTGGGGGACAGGTCTGGGATTGCGGAGGGGGCCCGGCGGGGGGCAGGCCAGCCTCCTTTGCAGGACAAGAGCAGATTCGAGGAAGCCTACTGCTAGTCCTGGGAGGCACAGCCTCGTGACCACACATTGCAGCTGCCACACTGCAGAGATGAGTGACATGCAGAATGTTTGGGGAAGGGGCAGGGAACGTCCCAGGAAGGTACAGACACAGCTCTCAGGTGCTGGGGAGGTGCCCTTCACTGCCTAGAGTCTCTCTGCAGAGCTTCGTTGCTGGGGCTGCCGAGCTGGGAGCTGGAGGGTCTTCATCTCCAGGAGTGTGGGAGAGTCAGGTGACACTGGATGGACGGATGGAGGAGACAGACTGCGTGACCACTGTGTGCCTGGCTTATCTGGCGGGGGCTCCTCCTCCCCACGGCTGGGCTCAGCCTGGAATTCCTGGGGCTGTTTCGGGTTCAAGTTGTGTGGCTCCCGGGGCTTGGTGATGTCACCCCTGGGTGTCATTCTGCGTCTGGGGGTCTCCCGAGAAACAAGCCGGGGAAGGAAGGTCGTGGCCCAGTCATGACCTCTGCAGGGACCTGGGAAAAAGCAAGGAGAAAGGCCACCACAGCCGCCGGGACAGAAGAGGTCGAGTCTCCCCAGAGCAGCCCGCACAGCATCAGGGCAACTACACAATCCACGTTCCCCAGATTGTCACCACGTACCCCGGGATTCCTGTCACCCCAATCCTTTCCCATGTCTGCTCTCGCCCCTGTACCACAGCAGCGTGGATCACACAGGGATTCCTCAGCAGTGGGGTCATCGAGACCCCCAGAGCCCAGAGCCCAGAGCGAGGCCCCGTGAGCTGTGGGTCCCAGGGTCGGCTCTTCCTTACTCTGTCCACAGTGCGGCCCCAGAAAGGGAGACAGTGAGTGGGGGGGCCGGCCGAGGAGCCACTCATGCCTCGAATTCCAGCATTTCCTACGCAGCGTCGCTGGGGGCTCTGCCTCTGCAAGGATTCTGACTTCATCCCCGTGGGACCTGGAAGCTTCATACCTAGAACATTCTTCCAGTTCTAAGTCCTGAGATTATACCAGGAACACACATTTCAAGAGAAACCAAGTCACATTGTTGGGAATAATCCCACCTTCCATCACCCCTAAGGACAGAGAGTCTCCATGGGCCAGATTTTCACAGGGCACTGGGGGGTGGGCAGAGCAGGGCTCCAGACACGGGATAGAACATTCCTGTCACTGCCCGTGTCTCCTGCCTCTGCCGAGCTCCTGGGCCTCTGGGCCACCAGCAGTAGACGAAGGTGTGTTGACCCAGGCTGCAGGGGCTTGAAGACAGTCGTGTTAAAGAGAGAAGTCCCACGACTGGCATGGATGAATGGGGGCTTCCAGGGGCCAGGCTGCATGTGAGGGGGAAGCCAGCGCTTGTCCCCATGGTGGAGGGCCACGTGGGGTTTCACACACACACAGCACCCACCTCTGTGCTTGGCCTGCAATGATGCTCAGTAAACATAGAGGAACACACAGCCGGTGCTATTTTGAGGCTCCCATATTGGCAGCAAGGAGCGGAGGAAAGTTCTTGTCAGGGATAGACACAGACGCAAGAGCGGGGTGCACCCACCCTTACAGGGCTCATGCCAGCCCAGGCTGGGGGCAGACCTGGAGCGGGACACACCCAGGGCAAAAGGCTGACCAAGTGCTGGGCATAAGTGGCCAGATGGAAGGCTGCCTCGCTCCTGTCCTACCTCTTCCCTTGATGACCCCCTCCTCTGCCTGTCTCTGTCCCTGCAGTACATCGCTTTGCTGTCTTCCAATGGAACATGGAGTCCTCGAAGGCAGAACCATATCTGCCCGTTTTGCCCCCTTCCCACCACCAGACAGCAGGCGTCCAGTGAAGGGTCACTGGAAACAGCAGTGAGGGGTTACTGGCAATCTGTTAGAAGGGCAGAGGTCTGGGGAAGGGCTGTGTTGGCTCAGTAGATCAACAAGACCCTCGTGTGTTAGAACCGCTGCCTGATTCCAGCAGACCCCCAGCTCAGCCTCCTCCGGCTGTGACACCAGCAGGCATGGCATCCACGTTCAGGCTCAGCTTCCTGTCTGTGAGTTGGGATGCGGATTCTGTCCCCCGAGGGTGGGGCCGTGTGCTCGTGGAGGCGGTGCAGATCTGCTGAGTGGCGTCAGCAGCTGGGGTGTCTGCAGGCCTGGGAGGTTCGGGTGAGTGGGACATTCCATGATGCCCTGTGAGGGCTGGTTTAATCCAGCCCGAGGGGAGTGGTGTGATTTTTGATGACTCACAGTGATGTGCCTCAGCTATGGTGCCCACGTGTTTGGTCAAGCACTAGACTCGAAGTTGCCATGAAGATATATACTGTACGTGATTAACATTTAAGGGCCAAATCAGTAGACTTTGAACAAAGCAGATGATCCTCCATAATGTGGGTGGGCCTCGCCCAATCAGTTAAAGACCTTGAGCACGAAGACTGAGGTTTCCCTGAGAAGGAGGCATTTGACCTCAAGACTGCAACACAGAAACCCTGCCTCTTTCCAGACTTCTGCCCTGCAGAATTTGGATTTGCCACCCCCCGCCCAATCATGAGCCAAATCCCTAAAATAAAGCTCCCTTCTCTCTATGGAACACCTGTTCCTTCTGTTTCTGTAGAGAACCCTGTCTAATAAAGCAAGAATCACAGGGTCAGGGGTCACCCTGAATTAACTATGGCCCTGTCCAGGGAGGCTATCCCCGCTCAGGTTCCAGTGGAAGTTGCAAAAACCTTGGTCCCTGGGCTGGGTGGCCCCAGCATCCTGCCCATCCCCACACTGGCCACCACCAACCCTGGTCACCAGTTGTCTTCCCTGTTGCCTCCTCATTTAGGGGCATTCGTCTTCAGACCAGTTTCAGCACTTTCTCCTGGATTTCAGGGCCCCAGCTCTGTCACTGGACCAGTCCCCCACCTCCATGCCAGCCCCTGGATCTCAGGAGCAAAACTTGTGAGGAATCGGGGCAGGTCAGAAGCAAGTGGTACAATATAAAATTTATTATAAAACTTCAGCAAATATAAATATCCAGGTGCCCATTCGGAATGGAGCCACATGGTAGAAAGGACAATGCAGAGCAGCCCCAACGCTGCACAGGGGGTCGGGGGCCAGGGGCCCGTGCGCGGCTTCGTCCGGAAATGCTGGCCTTCTTTCTGAAGGGCTCTTACAAAACAATCAAAATTCACAGAAAACAAAAAAATTCAAAACAGCACAATGCACGGAAAGGAAACGTGGGGTTCTGAGGGTCCCCATGTCCGCGGACGTCCACCCGGGCAGGACAGCCAGCCCTTCATCGAGACAGCTGGGGTACGGCGTAGCTGGTCGCTCTCTGGCTCTGGCATAACCTGCAATTCTGTCATTTCAGGGAAAAGCATAAGGAACGGGTTGGAATAGAAAGGCTCGCTTGTCAATCACAGAGAAGGATAAGACGTAGGATATAAAGTTCTCTCCTCCAGCGCGTGAATCTGAAAGGGAACCAAGCACCACAGCAGGATTTCGTGTTTCCCGTTTCCAGAGGCAAAGTCTCCAATCGAGACATGGAGTCCGGAGCACTTCCCTCCCCCCCCCCCCCCCCCCCCCCGTCACAGGGCAGACTGCCCTTCCAGGGGCCACCGGCTCTTGTCCCAGCAGAGAGAAGCTGGGCTGTTGGTGCAGGAAGGGGGCCCTGGGGAGGCTGGTCTGGAGCTGTCCCAGCCCGAGGCTTCTCTGGAGGGAGGCTGGTTAGCTCAGAACTGGGGCAGTGGTCTCGAGGTTGGGGGGAGGCCGGCGTACTGAGCGGCAGATCTTCTGGACTTATGCTTCCTTTCTTTCTTTCTCCAAAGCACCACAGTGTTTAGCGGTTAGCAAGCTTGGCTCCTTCTGTGCTTCTGACTTGGTTCAGCTGAAGCACAGAGATGAGACCCTGGGTCTGCGGCATGGGCCTCCTGCCCGCCTCCACGCTTCTCCTGGACACGTGTGTGCATGTGTGCCCAGGCGTGCCCTCAGACCCAGGATGTGCACACGTGTGCACGCACACACCCACACACGCACGTGCACGCACACACACACACTCTGTCCCATCAGAAGGCCAGGCGCAGCCCTTCTTCCCCCAGCCTGCTTCCCCCTGGCCGCTCTCCGATGTCCAGTGCACGGCTGATGCAGGCTGAAGGCCCGGCACCCCCACCGTGGCCGGGCCTCACAGGTTGGAGCCGGAGCACGTCTTGCAGCAGCGCTCCCCATAAAACTGGTGACTGCACATCCCGTGCCGGGGCACCAGCGAGCACCAGGGGAAGTGGTCTCTGCAGACGCCATCTGAAAAGCAGCAAGTGCCGCGTTAGCCAGGATCCTGGGGCGGGGGGGGGGGCCAGCTCGGGGACTGCGGAGGGCAGCCTGTCAGGGAAGGTGTGGCCCAGTGCGAGGGGCCATTCCCACAAGCCCCTCCTTGGAAGGTCCCTCAGGACTGACATGTCCTCCCTGCTGTGTGGCACCCGCCCACTGAGCGACCCTGGGGACAACGGCCCGGCCGCCTGCTGCGGAACTTCAGTTCGTTCCCTGAAAGAGCGAGACCCCAGCACCAGGGCTCTCTAACCCCGGGCACCCCACGTCCTCCAGCCCACTAAGGAACTCTCCGGACATGTTACAGCCCCACCCCGAGATGCCAAGGCCAAGCCGAGGGGGTCCAGGCACTCACCTTTCTTCTCTGCAATGGGGCAGAAGTGGGTGTTACAGGCCATGGAGGCGGTGGGCTTCCGGTGCACGAAGCAGCCCAGGGCCGGCCGGCCCCCTGCCAAGCACTGCACGGCCCTGGTCTGCACGCCGCCCCCACAGCTGGCCGTGCACTGCGAGAAACAGAGGCACAGCTGTCATCCGGGGCCGCTGGGTCCCAGGGCGTCCTCTCTTCCAAACCTCCCCTCCACCCAGACTCTGGGTGATTGTTGGGAAGACGACCAGACTCTGGATTCATCCCAGCTGTGGACAGAGGGGGCCAGTACTGGAGATGTAGCACGCTCTTGCGTGGTCGATGTCCGATGAACACAAGGGAACTAGAGCATGTCTGGAGGTAGCCGGATCATTCCCCAGACCTACCCAGGCTCTGAGTCTGGCACTAGAAACAATGCCCTTTGTGGAAGCCGTCACCCAGGCACCCTTTCTGGGGCTCTTGCCGGGGAAAACCTCAACAAGCCAGCTTCCACAGAGGCACGATAAAGTGACGTCCCTTCTAGACCCCAAGTCCCCAGACTCCAGACGCCGCCTGAAAGTGACAACACCAGCAGTGTGGGCTGGCTGGCGTCCTCCCACAGGCACGCTCGGGAGCACATGGACCCTGGCACTCGAAGGCAACACGGCACAGAGGAGCCAGGGCGTGGAGGAGCCACAGGGTGAGGTTGTCGTCCGCCAGCTGCCAGGCACACAGCCTCCAGACCTTGTGCACGGGTCCATATGAGCTCAACGGAGGGCAAGACACCGGGGGATGGGTGACCAGAGAGACAGACGAACCCAAACCAGCAAGCACTGAATCTGTCCAGAGAGCAACCTGACGTCTAGACTGAACTATGGAAATTGTGCTCCAACAAGGCTCCTCATTCAAAAAATGTCAAGACTGTAGGCAATTAAGGAACACCTGCAAGAAGAGGGGGTCAGATCCCATTGCGGACATTTGGGCCTCGGTGGGGACGCTGAATCCAGTGAAACACAAGGGCAGATCTGTGCAGGACAGATCTGTGCAGAGCAGGCAGCTGCACGGCACAGGCACTTGCCAAAATGTACGGGACAGCACGGCAGAACCCCGTTCGAATAAGGGCACTCAGCAAGCTCCGGGGCTGAAGTCAGCTACCAGCGGGCAGCCAGCTGACCTCCTGCTTCTTCCCAGGACCCCCTGCGAGCAGAATCTTGAGAAGCAGTTTTCCAAACCCCCCAGGGAAGGGGCTCTAGCAGAGCAGTTAAACATCTTTTGAGTCGGAGTCCAGGAAAGTCACAAGCGGAAGACATTGTTCTTTCTTCTCTCCTCTTTCGGTAGAGGATTGCTGGGCCCCCAGAGGTGTAGAGGCAGGGCTCCAGCTCATAAGCATGTGGGTCTGGAACATTTCTAGGAGACATACCCCTTTTCTTCAAAACCAACTTTAGTTGGAGTCATCAGTAACTCAGGCTCAATATATGTAGCAATCAGAAAAAAAAAAAAAAAAAGGGAAGGTGTGGGCAGATTTGTGTCTGGCTCTGGAATTAGCAGGCTTATCCACAACGGAGCCAGACGTTCCCACTGCCTACTGCATCCGTCTGAACATCTGGCAGCAGCACCGTTCTGGCTCTGCACTCTGCCTCCGAGCCCCTCCCAGCTGCAGCCCAACCGAGACCTTGAGGAATGCCGGTTGCAGTGGCCTAGGGCTCAGGAACCCTAGGTCACATGTGCATCTCTACGTGTCCACAACCGCTCTGCTGATGGTGGAGCTCCCATCAGCAGCAGCAGTGGGGGCAGAATTCCAGCCTTGCCAACGATGTGTCTCAGTTGAAAAACCAGAGATCCAGCCATCATTTTGCACCACTTAAAATCATGAGGAAGTGATTTGATTCTTTTTGTCACGGATTTATTTATTCAGAACAGGAATCACGCACCTCCCATGCACCAGGCACCGATCCAGATGCTGGATACCACGTGCTGGACACAAGAGAGTCGCCCATCCCTGGGATCTACCATTCCTCCTCAAACTGTGATCCTTCCCACTGTGTGCAGAGAGACTCCAGGACTTGGATCTGGAAGTCGAAGCTGATGGTGCCTTCCTTAACTTGATGGGGTTTAATGTGAGCATTTCAGGTCCTGCAGATAGCAGGATGCAGGTGGCCAATGTGCTGCAGAGACAGGGACCTGCCCTTGTCCACAGACCCACACACGGTGACAACAGCCACGGCCGTGCGTCCAGACCCCGCGGCTGCCGATGTGCAGGCTGGCCACCGGCTGGACCCACCCCACAACGTGAGCAGACTGGGCAGGACCTGAGAACCTGCATTTCTACACATGGTGCTGTAGCCACAGGCCGGGCCACACTCCCAGAACCGCGGCTCTAGGTGACCAGAGCTGTATCAGCAAACGCCCCTTCCTCTCCTCTTTTTGTTTTCAGAGCCAACTCGGCCACATCTGAGTCTGACGAGCATGTGCACGGAGCCAGTGTGCCATCAGGGGAGCCGGACGTCTCATAAAGGGGCTAGGACTTCCTGTGTGTGGCCCGGGACACTGTCAGCTGGCAGCTGTGTGCACTGCTTCCCACCCCCCGACCCCCAGCCCACCTGGCTTACTTCTGCCCACCTCCCGGTGTCCCTGCTGCAGACGTGGGAGGACCCGCTACCCCGACTCTAGGGCGGCCTCTTCTTGCCTTCAGCCCTGGTAGGGCCATCACTGGAGTCTGCAGCACTTGTGCACGTGTTTCTTCACGGTCTGTGTCTCCTGCTGATGCCAGACTCCCCAGGGGCAAGGACCCGGCCTGCGGGTGGGCAATTCTGGGTCTGTCCGTTGGGGGGGGGCAGTGAGGCAGGCCCCGTGCAGGTGGGTGCAGAATGTGAGACAGGAGCGTCACCCTCTGAAGATTGCCCCTGGACTGTTCCCTCCCCGGCCACCATCCTCTTCTAGGTCCTCGAAGCCCTCCTTTGCCTCTCGTCCTTCAACTCCTCACGCCTGCCTATCTCATCCAAGGCCTGAGGCCATGCAGACTGAACCAGGGCTCTTCGAGGGGGATCAGCTGCGGTCCAGGGGGAGGGCTCCCCACCCCAAGGTCGGCAAATGGGGTCTTCTTGCCATTCCAGGGTTAAACAACCTTGTCGAATGTGACGGCACCTCCTGGGAGCCCTCCGTGCTGACCGCGCTCAGAGAGGGCCCCTGTGGGTGTGTCAGGCTCAGACTTCCCGGGGCTGTGAACAACGACCAGCTAAGCACACATTTTCCAGAACACTGAAATCCTGAAAAACCTTCTCCCTTCTGGATTCCTTCTGTTTCAGGAATGGTCCTGTGTTCTCTGGGACATCCTAAACCAGAGACGCTACATACGGCCTGAAGAGATGAGCTGGGAACCCTGATCATCACTTAGTCATTATCAGACATCCAAAGACGTACATTTTTAAAATAACGTCTGCCTCTGGGTTTGCTTGAAATTACAGGGATGACTCTGTATGTCACTGGCCCTGACAGCAAAAAGTAAGAAGCCCTGACATGCCTCGGCCCTGTAGCTCCTGGCTGACGCTCTGGTTGGCTTTATTCAAAGGGAAACTCCCCCCACTCCACAGTCACGGGGCCCATGAGTGCCAAGGGCTTCTTCTAGGGCTGGCTCAGCTCCCACACTCAGAAGCAGCTGGTAAGCAAATCCACTCTCATTCCTGAGAGTCAGAGGTCTCACACCTTCCTTCTCCACTGTGATGACCTCTGTCCCCTCCTGGGAGATCTATGCATGCTTCTCCCTTCATTTGTCTCCTTCCTGGGCCCCGGGGGATACTGTCCGTAGCTGCTGCCCACCAGAGCGCTCCCCACTGTCCCAGAGACCAAGGTCTCCTTAGGTCAGGATGAGCGCGTACAGCCCTCGAGGCCTCATCATTACCACCCCTGCCCTAAATAAACTCCAGCACAGCTGGGAGTTTAGTTTGGCTTCCAAACAAAGACTCCCTCCAACTCAGGTGGCAAGTGCTGTGACCTTATCCAGCAATGACACGAGATGATTCTTGTCTCCTTGACTTGCCACCCCTAACTGCAAGATGAACATGGCATATCAGCAGCAAATTCTCAGAGGCGGACGGGCACGTGACAGAAGGGTGAAGGGAGCCTGTGCATTCTGTGTCTGCTTGTGTGGGCATGCCCGTGTGTGTGTGTGTGTGTGTGTGGCCATGCCTGTGCATGCTTGTGCATGTGCATGCCCCTGTGGGCGCGTGCCCATGTGTGTGCCTGCCTATTGTTTGTGTACACGTGTACGTCCGTGTGCGTGTGTTTGATACAACCTCAGTACGACTGTTGGGCAGAGCTGCCATATCGATCATCAGTGACACAGCTCCTTGCATCTCAGAGCCCCTGGATTTCCAGGTCAATAGTGCCCGATCCTGGGGAAGAACCCCCAGAATAAGCCAGGGCCCCCGCACTCCTGCAGTGAGGACACACTCCCATCTCCGTCATGTAGAATTAGACGGTCCAACAGGTGTTCTCATGTAAGCCATCCCCGGAGCGGATTAGCATGTGAACCACCTGACTCGAAGCCCCAGGGACTGACATGATTTAAGTCAGACCTACCCGGCAGCCCACCAAGAAACGTGATGATAAGCACAGCTGTCCAAATCATAGAAGCCCTAAAGATCCCATGATGGGAGCCACCATCTTCCAACTGTGACAGGAATAAACCTGTCTGGGGGCAGAGCTCAGCCGGCCATCGGCCATCCACCACAGCGTGACAATGTCCCACAGTTCGGGCGCACAGAGTCTCGGGTACCAGCGCTTAGAGCACCCATGACCCTTTGAGTTATTACCCCCAAACCGATGAGTCACACTGGATGAAAACTTCAGGCGGCTTATGATAAAATGATTTCTGAGACAAACACACACTGAATATTTCAGACCAGAGAAAACTACGCAAGATGTATTTTAGGTTTGGGGTTAAATGAAACGATGATAAATCTCCGTTTTTCTGAATTTTCCCAAGGTCTCAGATGAAGCCCAGCGGGCTGACCACCGGCCCAGCTGGGGAACGGGAGGTGCCTCGGCCTCGGGGGTCTCCGTGTAATGGTCTCGGGAGATACTCTATGTGCCTCCGACCCATGCTTCCCGAGCGGCAGGGAAAGCGCGGCCTCCGCCCCAGCGAAAACGTGACCTGACTTCCTCACTCGTCTCTAGCTTCATCTCACAGCAAAGACTTGAGCGCACAAGAAAACAGAAGGGGTTTCCCACTTGGGAAAACGCAGTCATTGATACAATTTGTCTGCTTAAAATAGAAAATGCCCGAAAAGGCTACAGCTCATACGCCCCCTGCTCCGATCATTAAAGCTCAACAATTTCTTTTTTTCTTGTGCTACGTGAGTCACATAGAGTACATCATTAGTTTTTGATGTCCTGCGCCATGAGTCATTGTTTGCGTGCAACACCCAGTGCTCACTACAACGCATGATTTCCTTAATGCCCGTTTCTCATCTAAATGCTTTCGGGAGATGGGCTCCTGCGCTTCTAATGCGCGCGTTCCGTCAGGTTGGACGAGCTGCAGAACCAGAAGCAGGGGCGGGGGCGGCCCCTAGAGACTGGCTGCCACCTCAGGCCCGTGTACTCCCTCCCTCCGTCTCCTCTACCTTCATCGTTCACAGAGAGGGAGTCTGAGACCGGCCACCATGTGTAAACGAGAAAGAGGTCCTTTCCGTGGTTCTGCTCCTCTGGCCAGACCAACAGCAGAGAGTCAGGAAGCATCCCTCGTCCCTGCTCATGGGCCAGACTCAGGGGAGCCCCTGTTGTCCTGGGCAGACTGCAGAGACCAGACTCCTTGGGCTCTGGCCAGTGAGGATGGCTCAGGATGTCTGAGCTCCATGCAGCCCTCCGGCGGGGCCTGGGTGCACCCCGGGTCAACAGAAAGAGCAGCGGGAGCAGGAGCAGCGCGGGGACCGAGGGAGGGCAGGACCCCGGGCGCATGGCCAGAGGAGTAGAACCAGGTGGGGAGGGGAGCCAGGCCCCAGGATGAGGACCGCCAGGAACCCAAAGCAGGGAAATGCGGCGAGGTGAGAAACGGCTAACAAAGCTAACAGAATTCTTCCTTCGGGTGGAAGGTGGTGTGGACAGAGGAGGGGCTGGGGGTATACAAGAGCCAGGGCAGGCCTGGGCGGTCTGGGGTGCTCCACCCCCTCCCCATGAGCACAGCCTCAGGGGTGCTGGGGCAGAACGCGCAGTCACCGACTTGTTCCAGATCTTGTACTTCCTCCCTGTTCACATGCATCTCTGGGGGTGTCTTCCCAGCTTTTACAGAAAATAAGACACGTTTTCCCACACTTAATTGAGAACACGGCACACGGGCCCTGCACCCACTCCGGAGAGAAGGGTCGGGACCTGGCTCGGTGGGTTTGGGGGTACACCCTCGCAGAAAGTTCCCCACCTAAACCAGCAGCCAGCTCCCTGGGCAGGAGGCTCTGCCCGCCACTGTGCGGGAACTGAGTGCCACCCTACCTGAGACCAGGGTGCGGCAAACCAGCCGGCTCGAGGGGGGCCGGAAGCGGCCTGCAGGGGGTGCCGGGGGCAGGGAAACAGAGCGCAGGCCCGCTCCAGCTCCACGCCGGGCTGCGGCAGGTGCAAGCACTTCTTGGAGGCCAGCTCTCGGTACTTCCCAGAGACGTGCTTTTCAGCACACCTTAAGACTCTTTTCTGTGTTCCTCTTTCACATGTAACCGAGCACTACAAATGGAAACAAAAGATGTGAGGGAAAAGTATCTCTTTGCTGGTGGCTGTCTTTTACCTCACCCGCGAGTCACCGTCTGCTTGAATGCTAACGGCAGTGCAAAAAGGCAATGAGATTTACTCGGCCTTTGCATTTTCAAAAGGCATTATGTATCCATCTTTTAAAAAGCAGTATCTTAAGGTGCAGCTTTGCGGGCCTTCGGAGGGGCAGAGCAAACGAAAACCAGGAAAGGTGCAGCTCTGAAATGGACGGAGAAGTTAAAATGCTGTGTTGCTGCTGCTCCTGCTGGAAAGTGCAAAAATAATACAAGAGCAGGAGACCAGACCCCTGGGCACCCCTGGAGCTGCACCCCCCAGCTGAGGCAAGATGCTGGCCCCCAGAGCAGGGGCAGGTGGAGGACACCCAGGGCTCCCAATCCTCCCCTGGAGCGCCCAGCCAAGGCGGCAGGCATGCTTGGGGCACAAATCCATTCCTTCCCTACCGGGGAGTGCTCGGAGCCGGGGCTGTGGCTCACGCGGCCCCCGGGTAAACTGCGGACAGTGAGCTGGGCCATGGAGGCCCCCAGAGCACACAGGAGGGCAACGTGCACTGTGGCACCGCGAGGCCGGGCCCCGAGGGTCTCGGGAGAGAGGTCCTGGCTTCAGGCACTGCTGCCTCAAGCTCGTGGTGTGGGCGATGCTGAGCCCCGTGTGTGAGTCCCTCTGGCTCGGTGTCTGCAGATTCCGCACACGGGGGACCCCAGGGGCGACACCTGCCCAGGTTCCAGCCTCACGTCCTGGTGTGTGGCTTCCAGGTGCTTGGAGCATCTCCTGCCCCACGGAGGAGAGGGAATGGGAGGCTCCCCTCTGTGGGTGCGGGAGGAGCTCTGGTGTGTGCTCGTGCGTGAGATACTCAGGGTCACCACCTTCCACTGGGAGGCCACCCACAGATTGTACAGCGTGGCGGCTTCCTCCCTATGGGCTCGGACCCCTGTCAGCGTGACGGCTGTCCCCCACTCGTCCTGGCCTCAACACTGAGTGAGCGCCGGCCTTGTGGATGTTGCTGGGTGACGTGCTTGAAAGACGCGGCTGGAAAGCCCCGAGCACGCCCAGCAGAGCGCCGTGAAGGGCCAAAGCCCAGAAGAGTGGCCTGAGCATGGGAACCAGACTCAGAGGAAGAAGGTGTGGAGGGAGAGAGAGGGAAGCAGGGAGCCTGGAGAGGGGAGGCGGCCCCCAGGCAAGAACTGGTCAAGGTTCTGTCTGGATACACGTACCCGGGACCTGGAGCACTAGGGGACTAGGACCGGGAGCGCCCACCTGCGACCACGACCTGGAGCACCGTCCGGGCCCGGAGCACGCACCTGTGACCAGGCAGACACAAGCCACTGCAGCTTCTTGTGCTTGTGGCACTGCTTGAGCAGACAGACCTCGTGAGTCCTGGGCTTGGGCTCCGCGCTGCAGGCGGCGTCCGGCAGCGGCAGCGGCGCCCTGGCGGAAGGGCTGGTGCTCTTACAGGCCACGGACCTCTTCCGCCGTCCCTTCCCGCAGGTTCGAGAGCACTGCCCAGGAAGAAAGGGGCAGAAACCCGCAAGGAGTCCGTCAGACCTAGCCAGGGGTGGAGGGAGGCCCCCTGCAGGCCCTGCACGGGTCCTAGATCCCAGCTCTGCCACACGCCAGAGGGGGCCCCGCGGTACCCCCATGCGACCCTGTCCCACTTACCTCTGCCCAGGGCCCGGTGCTCCAGGCGGGCGGGCAGCTCTGAGAGTGGCAGGCCTGTCGGCTGGAGGGCACGGGCTGCGGACACAGGCTGGCCGCCACCCGCTCCGACACGTAGTTGGCCCGTCGTGTGCACTGGACGTGCCGGCTCTGAGCGCCCCCACCGCACGTCCGGCTGCAGGAGCTCCAGTTCCCCACCGACCAACTGGGAGGAGACAAAGACACCTCAGTGAGGGGCGCCACCTCTCCCGCAGACACAGCAGGCTAACCTCACCAACAGCCCACGGGCACCGGGTTATTTCCAAGTCGCTCTCCATGCCTGCCCGGTCCCGTGGCTCCTCACCTCCTTGATGAGCTGCCCTGTGCTCATTCTCCCCTCCCCTGCTTTATCCACCTGCACTTGGAAATGACTCCCCTCAACACCATGACCTGTTCTCCTCTCTGGCTTGTTTCTAGGTGGGAAATTTTACACATGTGCAAAAGGAAGGCCCCATGTGTCCCCAACCCGGCAGCACGTGAAGCAAATTCCAGACATGGACGTGTTCCAGCACACATCTCCGGAAGATGAGGCTTCTCTGGTTTTTAAAACAACCGTAATACCATCGTGATATCTAAAAAAAAAATAAACCATGATCCCTTAATGTCCTATTACTCGTATTCTTATTGTTCTATCCATAGATTTTATATTATATCACTTCATATCATACTCCTCAATGTCATTATTCATGACTACCGCAATGTTCAGTGCTTCGTCCCCAGCTGGGTTGTGAACGTCCTGACCGGAGTTTGTCTGCTGGTTGGGAGCCCAGAATCCACAGAGTCCACTGTTCATGACCCTTAGCGGGTCTTTCTTCTCTTTACTCTATAGGTTCTTTCTTTATCTGTTTTTCTATTCCATTAATTGGTTCCAGAAATGACACTGCGCACCATGCTGAGTCTCCACAGCCCTTTCTGATGGTCACAGGAGCTGCCCAGTTACATCTCTGGGGTTTTGCTTCGCGTGTTCCTCTGTCCTGGGCACGTCCTATAACTTGGCAGCTGGCTCCAGGGGCTGGGTCACAGTTAGGTTCTACTATTTACATATATATTTCTTGTAGGATGACCTCGGCTGTGATAACTTCCAACTGGAGGCCCGTAACGTCTGGTTGTCCGTCTTTGAATTTATTAGAAGCTATAGAGAATATTCTCTCTCAAAGTGACCTTTTCTTTTTTCTTTTCTGAGTATGAAAGTATTTTTTGTTGACACGCATATCAGCATCTGATGGCAGAGGGATGGACCCAATCAGGCTTAGCCAGAGGCACCACCATTGGGTGTCAGATAAGCCTGAGATGGTCTACAAAGCACTCACTGGTTTTGTACAAACCCATTGCAGGAGGCCCTAAGGTGCACACTCTTGGGTGTGAGGTCATGAGAGGCAGGAGGGGCAGAGTTGAAATGTGGCCCAGGCAAGAGGGATCTTGTGGTGAGAAGACCTTGGGCTCCTCCTAGTCTCCAAGAGGATATGACAATTCTCACTCTTACTTGTCTTCCTATTCAGACCGTTCAAGCGAAAACTGGAAATTCTGCAGGTAACTTTGGGCCCCAAGGGTCTCCACAGTGCTGGCTGTGGAAAATCTGCTGTGAACGCTAAGGAGCAACACGGTCCTCATGTCTCAGGTGGTGCGACGAGCCCATCCTGTAGTGAGGGGCACAGAGGGCCTGCCACGCTTCCCCGGTGCACATTCCCAGCCCATGCCATGGGTCGTGATGAGGGACATCCTGGGACAGCAGTGCCCGGGAAACACCTGTGAGCCTGTTCCCGGCTGGACCCACAAGGGGCTTCTGTCTGCCTAGCAGCCATCCCTGAGTATGAGTTAATCCAACAGTGATTTTCTCCCAAATCTTGGGGGTAAAACAGGGGATCTGGGAAGGTGCCCTGTTTTGTCCTTTGGCTTTGTGACCCTCCCTCCCATGTGCATGCTGTCCCCTGAGAGTCACACTCAGGTCAAGCAGCAGCCAGGATGGCCTGGTGGAGAGCTCACCAGACGCCTCTGAGAAGCATCCCACACCAATGAGAGGGTCCATGAGGACCGAAGCAGGGGAGCCGACTTGTGCAGAGAGGGACACAGAGCGGAAGGCGGAGAAGGCCCAGAGGACTGCTGGATCGCGCCTCACCTTCGCTTCTGCTGGGAGTCTCTCTCTGAGCACGTGTGTGCACTGTTTTAAACAGAAGTGAGGGCGGGCAGTATATGCAACTCCTGAATTTGAGGTTTTACAATTTGGGTGTGGGGCCTGCTTGAAATAGAAAAACCCAACAGAACCAAACACGTCTGAGAAACTATTAGAGCCAAGACGAGCCCAAGAAGACACAAGCAGGTATGAGTGTCTTAGATAGGTTCCTGAAACGGAGAAAGGACATTATATAAAAACTAAGAAAACCGGAATAACCTGTGAACTTTAGTTAATAATGTATCAATGCTGGTTTATTAATTCTAACAAATTCCACCATGCTAATGGAAGACGCTAATAATGAGTCAATTCAGTGTGTATAGGGGAGGGCATTGGGACTATGTGATATGGGACTGTCTGCTCAGTTTTTCTAGAAACCTGAAACTCTTCTAAAAAATTAAGTCTATTAATTATTTTATGAGTTAATTATATTTCTGTACTCAAGTAATAAAGAGGAGGTAAAAAAAAATCAGTGTCTAAAACACGCATTTTTCTTACACAGCAAAGCCTACGTAAGTGTATTTCTGAGTTGGTGTGGACTGAGGTACGGGTCGGAGCACCTGTGACTAAGGCAGAGCCGGGAGCACCGGGGGATTGAGTTTTGGGAACGCATACAGACGGGAACGAGAGCTCCATGCCTCGGGAGGCCCCCGGGCATCACGACGCTGCCTGAGTCTGGGTACGCCGTGCCTGCCACAGGTCTGACCAGAGCACCCACACTTTCCCTCATGCTCTCAAAGGGGCCGGGACTCAAGCCGCTGCAGAGCCGATACCTGGCCTCTCGTGAAATCTGTGACCAACGCAGTGATGAGGGCAGGGCGGGGGCTGGCGGCGACAGAGGGGCCGTCCCTGCTCTGTGTCCCCGTGCTGTGTCCCCGCGCTGTGTCCCCACCTGGTGCCGGGAGCTGGCTTAGGCTCCACATTTCTCCTGACACTGGTCCGGGGAGCGCTCGGCCTGCTGCACACCGAGGTTCCTCCCAGACGCATACGACTGTGCCTCTATGAAAACTATAAAAACGGTAACACCAAGTGTTAGCCACCTAAAAAGGAAGTGTTGGCTTTGTAGGGACTGATCTAGATCAGCTGTGGAAACGGTTTCACTCTTCAGAGTCGAGGAGATCAGTGATTTCTCGTTCACGGTCAGCCACGGACATGACGCACCCTCGTAGGCACGGTCTGTCCCGGCCTCGTGGCTGCGAGGGTTCCGCCTCGGAGGCCTCGGGAGGCTCTTCCATTGTTCCCCCCGTTTCCCACGTTTGCTCTCCCAACCCCGCAGCCTTATAAATTCTAACTGGTGTGTCCACACTGGGGTTGCAAAGACATCTTGGCTGCTCTCGGGCGTTTCACACCTGCTCGTGAAGTCTTCTGTCTCCACCATCTTAAGCTGTTCCAACTGGGTTGGTCCATTCTCTGCCCTTCTCTTAGCTGCATGTCATTAAGAAATCCTCCCGAGCAAAGATCATCCACACGGCGTCCGGAAACGCCAACTCTGTTTGGTTTCACAGGCGGAACTCTGAGAAACGTCTTGATTTCACTCAGGAAAGAGTCAAACTCCCGGCGGCCTTGGGCTGGTGTCTGAGGGTCCCGGAGCAGAAGCCAGACGTGCCTGCTCATTTTCCGGTGGTGGCACTCGCCCCGCTGGGGTCTGTCTCCCCACAATCCGCCAACTAGAAGGAAGCAGGTAGCTGCTATCACCCGGGTCGGCCGGGCTTCCTGGGCAGGACCTGGAGGACTTGTAGGTTCCCGTCGAGGGCTCCCTGTCCCCGTCTCCCGGCGCTGCAGAAGGAAGTGGGGGGACTTACGGCTGTCTCTCGACAGCCCAGGCAAGCTGTCCTGCAAACCCCGTGTTCAGTCGTCAGGGCCTCCTGTTGTCACCAGTCATCAGCTGTTCCTCAATGGCGCGACCTTCACTTCTCCGTTAGGAAAATAATTGTAACATTCTGGTTTTGATTATTTAAAGTTTCCTCTGAAAAGGCAAATCCCCAGCAAGGGTATTTGAAGCAGCACCCGGGCAGCCCTGGGTCACCGCTGCCGCTCTGACGCCACGGCCACTGTGGCAGGGACCAGGGCTGCTGCTGAATTAAGGCTGAGCCCCCCCTGGGGCCACCCAGGGGTCTTGTGGACGGAGAGACCAGAAGTCTCGCAGACAGCGTGTAACTGCTGGCTTCACTTTAGAACTTAGTTCTTGTTTCTGTTTTCTGTTCACTCTCTGAAATTTCAAGACCCAGCACTCTGCCGTTCCATTTTCAGGGAGAACTCTTGACCTTCTAGGTAGTAGTCTGTCAGAAAGGCAGCACCTGCCGGACGGCCATGGTAAATGTGAGGCACCCACGGCCAAATTTAGCTGCAGGTAGATGGGACGTGAGCATGGGACATGGTGAAGATGAGCATAAGAAATTCAGCTGTGACCACGGGGTGGCCAACCTGCTCAGGCCGGCTCGGGCTCCTGGCAGCGCACCTGCCACATGCCAGCAGGCCACCGTGAGTCCAGCCGACCGCTCTGACCTTCCCATAGCTCCGCCATGACCTCTGCTGCCATAAGCGTGGGCACCCCCAAGCTCAGGCCTCAGGGCTCAGGGGTGAGGTGGCTTCTGCTGTGGTCTGACAAGATGGGGACTGCGTGACTTGGGGCAGAGATAGGCATGTCTTCATGTGCAGGGAATTCAAGGCCTACCCCACTTTTCTCCTAAAATGACACGTTTCAAAGACAGCAATGTGTGTCTGACAATACACAGATGCTGGCTTGAAAAATCTGCCTTTTTCATAGGAAAAACATCAGCCACAAGTTAAAGAGCACAGGTAGGCTGGACGCCAAAGGCACGACAGTGGAGATGGGGAGAACTGCCATCCCGAGCCCAGCCTGCAGGACGCCACGGGCCCCGAGTGCACCTGCCCCGTGTGCTGCTCCGGGGATTTGTTACAGTCTGTGCCAAGGCGTTTCAACAGGATGCAACGGTGCCTGCTACTCCCTGACAGGATCAGAGCCAGGCCTCCGG